TCGGCGACAAGACCAAGAGCATGGACATTCGACAGCAAGAGAAGTCACGCATATCACAAGCATGTCACTCTTTATCTTTATCTGGCCATGCCGAGGACTTGAAGGAACTCTCCGGTGGCGGCCTGGCCGCCGACAATGAGGCACCAGCGTCGAAGCTGTGAGGCGCAGAGCCGGTGAGGAACACGGGGGGGGGGGGGGGGGGGGNNGTGTTCGGATTGCGGTCGAGACGCTCCTGGTCCTTCATACTTGAACAGTAGGTTAGACATGTCACGTTAAGATCCAAACGCGAAGACTACAGTTTATGAAACTGTGCATTGAGATCAGCTGCCCCAAGTACAGGAGTTGGCAGGCTTGGTATGTGTCGGAAATGCAAAGTAGAGCCGGGTGAGATGCGCCATGCCAGGTGTCGTTGACGCAGACGTGACTTCAACCCCTCGCAAAAGCCAGCTCACGCAGAGGCGGAGAGAAGCGTGCTGAAGTGAAGGGACTCTGCTGCAATTTTCCACGCGCGTGTGCTCCGAGCAAAATGCCATGTGATGTCGATTTCTCGTGGGGCTGGTCAACCTGCAACAACTCGTCGTGGGTGCCGCAATATGCTAAGATGTCCTTTTCGTTGAGGGTGAGGTTGAACCCAGGTCCATGAGAGACGGCGCGCGTGCCATAGCTGACTAGACCCACAAAGTGCAATCCGAGCGCGAAAACCAGAGCTCGGTTGTTCCTTTCCCTGGTGGAGAGTGCAGAGTTCCATGCCAGCTGTACTGCAGCGCAGCATAGGATCATGATTGAACATGTCCGCCTTTAGAAGCCCGTCCTACAGATCCTCAATGCATTTGGTTCCTCAGTGCATGAAAATTGTTCGTTGCGACCCTGGCTCTAGCAACTTCTAGGCCATTCCGTAGGCTGGGAATCCATGTCTGCGTAACTTCATATGTGGGATGCTGCAGGGCATCTGTTTACCCAATCGAAGGGGTGCCTCGGCTTCGGCTTCGACTAGATCCGCAGGTCAGCGGGCGTGACGCAGCTAAGGCTGTTGAAGAGTCCGGACGGGGGGGACTCGCATCACCTGCTCGGTGCCTTGCAAGAATGTGGATAGCTGGGAGGCTTGCTCTTGAAGACTTCTCTGTCAGGTCCTGCGGAGGAACACCACTTTTACCACCGGGCCCATTTCGACTCTCGACAGCAGCTACACAAGTGGACAGTGCAGATGAGCAGATCCAGCATCATTGCTAATACGGTTGCAAAGCCTTTCGATTGGAGTGAAGCGTGGTCTTTAAACGTTTTTGCCCGCTTTGAATCTTGCTGTCGCCGGTGGTCACGCTGCCTCTGAATGCAGAGCTAGAAATAGCTAGAAGACTTCCAGGCGGCACATGACGTCCGTGCGAGGCTCCCTGGCAGCTGTCGCCTTTACTTGTGGACAATGAAGTTGTGGTCACTGGAACGATCCCTGCTTGCAGTGTCGAGTTGTTGATTACTTTGCAAGCCGCGGAGCAGGTGGCATAGTGGCACGCCGCAGTAATCAGCGCATCAGCCTTCAAACTCATCGAGGCGAGTGATTCTCACGGAAAGCCGCGTTGCACGACTGGACTTCAAGCACATTGGCTTTTCAAGCGATGCCGCTCGGGCTCATTCTGCATTGCTTGCAGCAGAAGTTGAATTGGGAGATTGAATGGACGCATGAAGCTGCCCAGGCGATGCTGGGAGCGGTAAGGCAGCGTGTTGATTGCACGTAACATCGTTGTTGGCAGGACGACATGTTAGGATCACATCGATTGTCACAGCAACTGTCGCGTCGGTCGCAAGATGCGACAAGCAGAGGTGGGTACACAAACGGCAGAGATCGGCAGACTTACTGTGCACGCCTTTTCCCGCTTGGAACTGTATCCAAAGATTTTCACGCAAGTCGTGAGCGACACACGCATTTGGATTGTGGTTGTATACAACATTGCACTGTCGCCAAAGTGGTGCGATCAGCGTCCTGTGACATCAAAGTAAGAGAGAAAGAGAGAGTCGGATGGCCGAGGCCTGCGCCAGTTGGAAACAAGAATCGTTCGACCGAGATGTCGTTCGAGGCACGAACCTGCTCTGGTGTGTGGCAGTGCACGACCACACACGGTCTCGCAACAAGGTTACGAAGCCAAGCGGGTGGTTCCGAAGTTCCGCCAGGCCTGTGATTGACACATTGCTGGATGAAAACCGTTGGGCAGACACATCTTGCCTGCTCCTTGCGTTGCCCTGAGCTCCTTCTACCTCTGCTGGGCCTCGTGTGGTGTGGCTTGGCAGCTGTTAACTAAGTTCATATTCAGCTAAGATTGTTGTGCTCTACTGTACTTGTACTATTTGATCATTGGGAAAAGCTTTATAGAACTCCATAATACCGCATCAGAGCAATTTTAGTTACGACTTGCTACTAGCCGGAGCTTGCCGAATCGCAAGAGTTATGTCAGGAGACGTCTGCCAAAATAGCTCTGCCATTTTGCCTCGAGATTTCGGACCGTGGGTTGCTTGGAAATTTGAATCGCTGTTTCGCTCCTCTCTCTTTCATTCGGTGCCCGCAATAACCCTGGCGGTTCTCTTCTTTGCCGCGACTACCATGCCGAGAAGCAATGTGCAGGCAACTGTTCCCACAACCGCCCAGTCATGAAGGACGGCTCGATCTGCAATAGCTGCCCGCGCAAGTGCTAGGGCCTTTCCGGAGGGACAGAGCCTCGCTCACCCATGCGCCTTGATGGCTTCCTCCCAAGCCGTCTCTTGACTCGCCTTGGCCGGACCAAGGATGGGGATATTATGGACTCCCGGAAGAGGCACTGATCTTGCCTTTCGCAGGGTGAGGTGGGATGATGCGGGGCTGCCCCCAACCTCTCCCACCACATTCTCGCAGGTGGCCCCACCTTTCAGACATGGAGTGTGCTACGCGGATTTGACGGAGCAGGTTCGCTGTATGCCAGTCAACGCCATCCTCGTGAGGATGAGTGGGGCTACAGAGGACCAGTTGAAGATTGCGGACGATGTGATTGTCATCCTCCTCCAGTTCATGTTGTTCGTCTGGCTCGCAACTATGCGAGGCTTGCCTCGCGTAAGCCTCCGTGCCTTACTTTCTGGAGAACCCTCAGGACCTGGCAAGAACGAGCTCGAGTCCGATTTTGCACGTCGTTGCTCCAGCCTACTCGTGTTGTCTGCACTTGGGCTAAGGACATGCGCCTGGCCTGGATGTCCGTTCAGCAATGCTGCCTGGGACCAGCGTCCATGGGTTCAGTGCTACTCCGTTGGAGGGACATTTGCCAATCATCCTGCGAGAACCCTGGATGTGCCGCCATGGTGTCAGTATCCTGAGCCCATGATGGTGTCCCTGTTGGGCAGCTCCTGGTGCTACCAAACTCGAAGATAATCTTTAAGGGGCAGGCCAGCCTTGTGGGCTGCAGAACCTCGGCAACATCACCACATGGAGTTTGTTCAGGAGTCGAGGCTGCTCCGGTTATGAGAGTCTCATGGTTTCCACATGTTTAGCTGCCCCTTGAGAGACGGATGTGGTATGACCTGGGAGGCAGCCTAGCGCCAAAGCCCATGGCTTCGGTCGCCAGGATACTTTATCCTGGCGGAAGCACGAACTCATGTGTCGGACTTCTCGTCTGCAACATCAGCCGGGGCAAAGGCTCATCCCCGCATATCAGACTTGCCCGACAGAAATTCGGGGCAGTCTTGCCTTCGCATGGACCCCTTTCTGCGGAAGGCCAACCTTTCTACTTGGATGTGATTGAAGCTCTTCTCGGACAGATGGGTGGCGTGAACGTGTCATTCCTATAAAAAGATCTTGGAAAGGTGCTTCCCGGGTGTTCCGCCGCTTAAAAAGTTTCGAGGTGAGGAGTGAGGAACTCAGATTGCCAGTGCTCTAGGCAGGCTTCATTGGGTCACGACGTCATGGCACCTTACAAGCCATTTCTGGAGCCTTTCTGGGTGTGGAAGAATGCCTGCCTGACGGCGGGGAAACCCAGCAAGCTTATCAGAGGTTTTGCAGCCGCATTTCCTTTTCGAACAGCAGTTTCGTCAAGCATCTTCAAGCTCAACTCGATTGCATCGATTTGGGCCGGGGCGAGTGATGCGAACGCCTCTGACAGCGGCGCTGCTTCTGTGGGTGGCTGGCTTTCGAATCTCGAGTACCCGTCCAAGTTGGACGTCTTCTTTTTTTCCAGTACCAAATACCCCTGCAGGTGCACACTTGGGCCTTCGGCAAAGGCTGCTCGAAGAAGTGCATTGCGGCACTTGAAATGTTTGGCACCTGGATCCTATGCCAGTTCCTTATGGAAAAGGCTCCCACCTCCATCCCGCATTAGAAGATCCCAATCATCAGTGACAGCCAGGGAAACATCTATTCCCTCCTGAATGACAAGTCCAAGAAGATGCCAACTTCGATCATCCTGGTGGAGATCCTGTTTCAGCTGCATCGCCACGGCACGCAATTGGCACCCTCACATGTGAATCATGTGAAGCGAGATCACAATAGTTGGGCGGATGAACTGGCTCATCCTGATTTTCAGGGTTTCACATCGTCTTTGCGACTCCCTGTCGAGCCGTCACTTTCCAATTTTGCACCGATTCAGTCTACCTCGGAGGACCGTATTTCGACGAGTGACTCTCCTCATCCTTGAACGGGTTCTGGGTGCCCGGTGAGGCTGTCGCTGCCTGCTGCCGGCGTTTTGTGGGACGGCACAGGAGCTTCGGTTTTTAGATAGGGTTACTTTAGGAATCGGCAGCCTCATCCAACCACCATACAAAAGGTCGCGCTTGCATGCGGTGTAGTATAGGCTGTCTGATCACAAATAATAAGATTTTGCCTTAAAACACAACCATCGCGCACGCACGCACAGAGCCAGGGCATTGTATAGTGGGAATTGCTGCTTTGTTTTGTTGAAATTTTCAGCCCACGCGTAAGCATGAATGCATGCGGCTTGGAAGACCAGGTACCTTGGTCCTGTTTGAGATGTCGCCCAACATTTTGGACATCGTTCACGACCTGGTCATTTTGCTGCCAATTGAGCACACGCTATGGCTTGTCGGTGGCTCTTGTCGGAATCTCCCGGTCTGCAGCCCGGCTAGCATAGCCAAACCCCTCTCAAAGCTTGATGCCAATCTTCACATTCTTCCGTGCTGGATCCTGTGACTCATCCGCAGTTTGCTATCGGATGATGATTGCGACCTGAGGTAAACATTCGCTTGCAAAGCCCCTGCACCTTGCGTCAGATGTCGCTCGGGCTGAAGCCCAAACGTGTTCTTGTTGCAATTGACTTAGTTGACAGAGACGCCGCAACCAGGCCATCAAGCGATTCAGGCCCAGTCCACAAGGAAATTCTCCGGAGACGTGGGCGGAAGCAGGGGTACGTGCAGGCGACCTGGCCCAAGAGCTCTGAGTCTCATTGCTAGCGCGACCGAACGTTGAGCGTATTCCATGTGTTGTGACTGTACATCTCCGGCAACTTTCCATGTTCGGTTGACGAGGCTACAAGAACAAACGATATGAGCGCGTGAGCTTCCTGCAGCCAGGCAACCCGTTCTGCCGAGTATGAGAAACGCAACATTTGCATGTTGAATTGAACCTACAGGCTGGAGCTTCCCATTGAGCAGGGGACGAATTCAAGTGTTTCTTTTCCGTCTTTCGCCTTTGTCTCACCTGCCCCGATATTTGTTGCCTTGCTGACGTCTTTGTGGATGGTGGGGGCCTGCACCGTCCCCAGGTGTGGTCATGACTCGAAGGGCGGGCGATTTGCATCTGGTCTCCGCCACAGTCCCGCAGCCATGCCAAAGAGCTACACCCAAGCCACAGCATGCCATAGCCCGTGAGTCGATGCCGAAACCCTTCCCGGACACGGCGCGTGGTTGACTGCGGCCAGCTGTAAAAACATCCATGCGGTAGCTGATCCACTCCGCGAGAACCTGCGAGAAAGTTCGTGGCATCGCATCGGCTCCTCCGGCGATCTGCACCCAACGATCATCCGTCACCCGCTCGCAACCATCACTCATCAACAATTTGGGAGAGGTGCGCCGTGAAGACATCCCGCGTCAAGGTCCGCCCAGGTTTTGGGCGATGGCACCTGGCTGTAGCGAATGACCCAAACAGCATCTGACAACAAGAAAAGTTGACACGTGAGTACTCCGTGGAAGGAGGCGGGTGGGTGAACGACGGTTACGGCGGTTCAACTTTGTTTGGAGTGGAGATTACGGCCGGTGGGATTTCATGCCTTGTTGTATCTCCAAAATTTGGCAAGCTGGCTCTGGATCATTCTGGATCTAATATCCCAAGATACGATGGGTTTAGAAGGTTCGGCACCCGAGCCGGGAGGAATGCTCGGCATCAACGTTGCTTGCCCATCCCTCAGTTGCCCGTGCATACCAACGTCGGCAGATCCATCTTCATTGGCGACATCAGCGACATTCAACATATCAGAGGACAGCCGCGTGTTCAGCAGGCGAGAGCTAGGGTCTGCACAGGCGTTGAGACATGTTGAGACGCGCAGTGCGCCAGTTCAATTGCAGCAACAACTATTGTGCGTTGCCTTTACCTCTGTGTCGGGAGGCCACCTGGTGAAGGCATCGGCTTTCCGGATGACATGCATTGTGTCCTGAGTCTGATGCTGCAAGGAGCTCGTAGGTGTAGACAGCTGGGCACCCAGCATTTGTTGTCATTGACACGGCTACAGTACATCTCACACAGCAACATTCAATAGGTGATGCACCCGTGACACTGTGACACGATCGCACCACTTCCCTGCAAGACGAGTGCCAGAGCTTTACGCCGTGGAGTGACGTGGATGGCAATGATTGTCAGAAATATTCAGAGCCGCTTGCCCGCACTGAAGTGGTGCGAATTGGGTACCTTCGGCATCGGCTTAGCTTAGAAAGGGCTTGGGCTTGGGGTTTAGGGTTTAGGTCGACGCCAAAGTCCAAAGCCGAAGGCATGTCCATTGCGTGGTTCCTGCCATGGATCGTGCGTCTAGCCATCTGCAGCCATCTGCATTGCAGCGCTTTAGTCTTGCTTGACAGGACTTATTGTTGATCATGTTTTTCGGCCGGACTTGTGGCAGCAGTTCTGCGAAACATTCAGCAAGGCCGGGATGGCTGATGTCTTGCCATGATCTTCGCAGTCTGGAAGAGCGCACGGACAATCTGGATGAGCGGCGAGATTCTGATCTGAGACTCGCAGACATGGCTTAGTCAGTACAGGTTGACGAACACGGACAAAGCATGTTTTTTTTTGCCTCGTGTCGAGGAATCTGTCTCCACGGGAGGCATGCTGCAGCTGTGGTGGCTCGAATGTTACTGGGCGTGAGCTCGCAATCAGCCGCTTGCCTAGCGGCCTAGCATTGCAGATGGCAAGAGTGAGGGGTTGTGGCAATTTAGATTTTCCGAAACATGTTGCAGGCAAACTCGCGAGCTCTGTGTTTGCCGTCCTGGAATCCATTGACAACTCTCGGGAAGCCAGTCGTCATTCAGTCACAAGGGCTCGGCTCATCCTGCTTTGTCGCTCTCGTTGTGCGGTGTTTCCAAACTCGCAAGTGAGGAAGTGAAGTCTCAACTTCCCGCAGCCATCGTGGCGACCGTAAAGGAGGCTGTTGATAATGGGAAGGATGTGTTGGAGAGTCGATGCTGGACCGCTGTTGGCTGTGCATGAAGCATGTCTGTCTTTAGGCCTCCCATGTGAACACTAAAGGAGTAACAGTTTAACTTTTTAAAAGTTCGCGGACAGCTGCGAACGGCTGGTGCTTCCTAAGGACTCCTGCAGTTGAGCAACTTGGTGTTGGCGCAAGCAGGTCTCCTGGCCGGACCTGGCAACCTTGCTTTCGAATACACACCCTCCCCAGGCCTCGCGTCTCCAGCGCATAAGGTCCCGACTGGCCTCAGTCCTGGTCCCTAGGGCCCCAGGGCCTTGACCTGAGGCTTCCTTTCCCACATGCCTCTGCTGAGTTTGTGCATCTATGTATCTGTGGACACATGAGACCCGGAGACCCCCAGTCGCAACCTCGCGCTTAAAACGCAAGTTGATCGAACCTGCCAGACGAGGTCCATCTTGTATTGTATGTTCGCCCGTAAGACTGGGTTGCGCAATAGGGGACTTCGCTTTCTCGGATTCGAGCCTTTCAGCGGAAACTTTCAGGATCACCTGGGTGCAAGTGGGTACGTGTAGCTGTGGCCAGTGTCGCATTTCCATGCGCTTCCTGAGGGCGCTTGGCGGGCAACAGCAAAGCCCATCTTTATTTTGAACGGTCAGACGAGGTGGTTCCCGCTTTGGCCGCTCGCATGATTAATGACTCTGACTGACGTTGATCTGTGCGAATCATGTCATCTTCCAAACCTGCCGTTTTTATTTACCCAGACACCCAGGAACTGTTGTCGATGTTGTTCCCATCTGCCTCGGCAGTGGTAGTAGCTCGAATGAAGATGGAGCAAGACCCCGGAATGCAGCGGCAGCTGCAGCAGCTGCAGGACTGCTTGATTCAGCATATTTCAGCATGATGTAGTTCACCGCAGTGATGGCTCCGTCAGCCAACTTGACCTTCCGGCCTCTTGCATTCAGGACACGGCGACGCGAACAGCTTCGTATGTGCGTGGCTGGGCAGAGAGTCCATACAGCCTGCACTGCCCGCACCTCGTCGTACGGATCTTGGGTAGTCCCGATATGAGGCGAAGGCTCCAAGGGCATGCTGGAGATTGGACCGGCGCTGCTAAGCCACCACATGATCCTCAGCTCACAGCCCTTTCCTCCCTTTTCTCCCTCCAATAACCCAATGACTCAAGGAGAGCTCTGAGCTGCTTCTGGAGGATCTACTTCCTGGCCACTTGGCAAACTTTTCCTGGGAGACCCCAAAACCCTGCAAGCAAGATGGAGCGGAATTGTGCAGTCTTGTTCGAATCCAATTTGCGAGGTGCTTTTCTGCATATGTTTGGCCGCAATCGCATGGTGGTTCGGTCTGCATCGCATCGCGGCAGGAACAAAGCCAACAGTTGTGGTGCAAACGTGTGCAGAGCCCGACAGCGACCGAGGCAGGCCTGTTACTTACATCGTCCTCCGCAGCCATGCTTCTCGACGGCAATTCTCGATGAACCGAGTGCAAGCCATGTCAGCCTTCGCTTTGGAGCTGGCAGGATAAGTATTTTGGGCCGCAGCGGCAGATCGAAATGCCAGAGGTTGTTATGCCGCTGAGCTTTTGTTGGGTTGGATTGAGGCGTTTGATCTTAGTGCTGCGTTTTCCTGTGCAAGTGGAAGTAGCTTCAGTCGGTGATTCCAAGCCGGGCAGGTCGTAAAGTGATCCTCCATGATCTTCCACAGAGAGTGGATGCTTACGAGTCTAGGGTCTAGTCTGCGCAGCCTCACGCCGCTAGCACCGGCTGTTTGCGACCGTTGCGCTCAGGCAGAGTCGTTACCAATCCGAACGTCTCAGTGGGTTTTTCCTGCCCACAGAGCGTGTCAGCGAATTCGCTGCAGCACTCAGAGGGGGTGGTGCCGGTTCTCGGGTGTAGCCACGAATCGCCCCCGTAGCCGTCAAGTTCATGTGACCCGAAACGTCAGGCAAAAAGTCATGCTGCTTCGATTGCTTCGTCTTGCGACTCAATGCACAGAGCATCTGTGCGGCGGCACCACGAACACTCCTGCAGCCCTCCTTTAATGTGCAGTTGATGCGGGTCTGAATGAGTCGACTTTATTGCTGCGAGCTGTTTGAGCCATTCAGAGACATGACGGGGCTGCGCTGATGAGCCCACAGCCGCGTGGACCTCAGTCATGCCACAAACGTGACCAGTGGTATTGAATGGTTGTGTGCACACGGTTCCCAGGCCCCGCGCGCTCCGATGCGTTGCGCGGGGCTTCTGCTCTGGTTATTCGTGCAGGCACCGCGAGAACGCCTGCACCGCCCAAGCATATGTAGTCGTTCTCCGAAAGATTAGGGTGTAAGAGCCGAGTGGTGAGACTGCTTTAGCCCTGTTGAACTGAAAAACAAAGGCCTGTGAGTGGTTCCCGAGTTGCCTGACAAAACCTAGTCTTTCTGTTGCTGGCAGGTGCAGGGCCAGTTTGAGAAGCAGCGATCCGTGGTGCAGGCATAGGGGCCAATTTGACGGATCTTCTGAGCTCTTTCGCCACAACTTTGTAAAATCCTTGCCTGTGGAGGCACCTCTGAGTGCCGTCCAGCGGCGAACCGCATCTCCTGCCATCACCCCGGCCTTCCCCCCTTTGAGAGACCAGACATTCGTCCCGTGTCAGGCTTCTGCTAAGATTTGCTATAAGTCTTTTCTTCCCCAGGATCTTTCAGCATCTGGCTCCAGGTCGATGCCTTTGGCAACCCTGTGCCGGACAGCGTGGCGATCCCGAACATCCCACGGGTCTGCAGACTCAGCGACAGCATCTTGCGCAGCGAGGGACGACTCGCGTGGTAGCTCAGGCAAAGCCTCCTGCACGTGTGACCTCCTCTGCAGGCAGGGCAGGGCACGGGTCCGCCGAACCTCTGCTGTTGTGAAAACTAGTCAGAGCCGAAGACGGTCGTCCCCGTTTGCGAGGTTATCTGGAACTGGAGCTTGAGCTGAGCTTAGAGATGCTTGCGTTTGCACACGCTCTGGAATCAACAGTTCGCCTTAGCACGCGATCGCTGCCAAGGTTTTGGAGACAGTGGATCTCCAAGCAGAGTGCGAGGTGCAGGGCTGATGTCGTGTATTATGTGTGTCGCGTGCTTGAGATGCTCGCATGTGCGTATGAGAGGTTTGATGGGATCTTAAAAGTTTTTAAAAGATTTTTCGCTCATGCATGATTCGTTTCCAACCTCTCAGCAAGTTAACTTGCTATCGCCCAAACCATCAAGCACATACCCATCAAGCCACACACCAGCAAATGTTGGCAAGCGACCAACACCTGCTACAACAAAGGAATATCACTGAGATCATAACACCGAAACCTGCACAACACCTATAAGATCTGTTGTCTTCAAGAGTGCGAAAGCTGCAATAGCCTCAGCACGAGCCTTAGATCTATCAGCACAATTCCATTCGCGTTTTCCCCGAGCGGCCAACCTGCTGGCGGAGGGTCTTAGCTCTCCGACTCAGCGACTGCTTGACTTGTCGGCAACTGCTGTCCGTCCACAGCTTGAGGATCTTGCTTCCTGCGAAACTCATCGTCGGCTTCTAGGCGAAACTCAGCCACTCGTACGGTCACGTGATGCCGAGCTCCTGATGGACTTAACCTGAATTAGCATACCCACGTGAAGAGAATAGTTGAATGTTTCAATCTGTGAACTAGAAATCGAGGCTGAATCTACTCGGCATTCAGCCCGTTGCATTTTCGAGAACGCAGGTTTTGGTACACGGCAGCCAGCAGTTGTCGGACGGCGTTCTGCAGGTCACGGCAGTACGACTAGTGATGAAAGGTTGCTGCGAACGCCACTCCGAGCTTACAGATGTCGCCTGCAGTCCTTTCTGTCGGTGAGTCCGTCCGTCTGTTTGTCGGCGTACTCGTGCGAGTGGAAGCGCCCCTGCTTTCCAGAGCTATGGAAGCCTCAAAAACTTTATTCTTCGATGAAGCATGGACTTCTTCCCCTAATGGCTACAGATCGGTTGTCCAGTCTATTTGATGATACGCAAACTGTTCTTCTTACGCCTTCTCAGCTCACCAAGATGAACTCTGTTCACTTCGAATGTGTACGTAGGATCTCCAAAATGAAATCTTCTTATTAGTATAGGGTACTAGACCGCACAGCCGCTCAGTGTTCCAACCGATACCTGGCAGACTTGGCTGTCTCCTTTCGAAGAGTAATTTCTCCTTCTCAAAATCGCCTCACTCTTTTAGGACATTTGTATCGGCACCTAGACTCCCTAGAAACCAAGGCTACTTTCATGCCCTCGGCAGCGTATCGCCACACTAGAGGCCCAAATATGGTGGGCCGCCCAAAAGCACATTGGGAGGAATCCTGCCCAGTGGAAGCCTCTCAAAGCATAGATCACCTGCGTGCGCCACCTTCGACTAGGTCATTAGTTTTTCTTTTTTCCGAGCGCCTCGGACATACGACAAATACATTCCTTGCACTCCACTGTGTGGATGGATAACATCCCGCTTTGCCACAAGGTCTCGAGTATTGCCAGAAATAGAGCCTCTTGGACGCTGGTTGTTAATAAGCCTAGCCGCAAACCCCTAAAGCCCTGCCGAGCGCGTCGGAGCAGACGGGACCAACTTTGGGCACTGCGCTTGCAACAAAAGCTCGTGCAAGTGCAGTGTTAAGGGAAAGAGTGCTTCGTGCGCATGCATTCATTCATTTATTCATTGAGGTCTGCCCCCGCTTGTGTTCATGCGAAAACGTGTGCATGTTCTGTTGCGTGTATGCATGCACGCAAGCACTTACGTACAGATGGATGTGATCGTGCATGAATGTATATTTAGATTAGATGTGTGTACGTATTGAACTGCACGGTATGGTACTGTGTTTTACTGTTGTGTCTTGTCTTTTCTTGTCTAGTCTGGTGTGGTCCTGGCCTGGCATGGCCTGGCATGGCATGGCATGGCATGGCATGGCATGGCATGATCTGTTGTGGCAGGGTAATTATTCTTGTACGTGCGTAGGCGTGCATGCGTGTGCACATACGGCATAGAATGTGCATTCGAGGAATTGATAGATAAGGAAGGCTTAGCAGTGGCTTAATAGTTTCGACCACAACGGCCGACTCATCACGACTCATGAGCTTTGATTTTCGTCTTCGGCCTGTATGCACAAGTTGTACAAGTGCCGTGAATGATGCCATGCCCAAGCAGAAAAGCAGGTGTTCCGAAACGATGCAGACGACACGGAGCCGTCGATATCATGCTTCAAAGGCTCCTGTGTGCGAGCCTCGGCGATGTTGTCCATGGTGTCGTTTTCACGATTTCGCGATGTTGCTGCACAGCACAAAGCCATCAGTTGTTCAACAAGTGTATCTGTCTCACAAGACTTAGATGCCCGTCGAAGATGGACTCAGGTCACTTTGGTCAAGCTGGCCAGCTAGCCTCTCAGATCGTTCGGGTTGGATCTGCCGGTGGTGGTGGCCGCTGCGAGTGACCACACGAGTACGTGTCGCGCAAAGAGTCTGAGACTCGTGGGATAGAGGCTTGAAAGTGGATGCGCGCTACATGTTCACCATGCATTCCGTCCGAAAGGTCACGCGAGGGCCCCGGAGCAAATCGGAGAACCGCACTAGTCTTATTGTCTTACCAACGCTGCGCTTCAAGAGTCTTTGGTGGAGGGCGGGAAAGGAGTTCAACAGCAGAAGCTCGGGGCTTCTTTCGATCACGGGCTTCCAGCATGCTGTGATCCTGGCTGCCAGGGATGGCGTGACGGGTCAGGTCTTCGAATTTCATGGCCCTCGTCCGCGACACAGTTGCTTCTCAGGACACTATGTGCTGCCTCGATATGTCTCTGTACAGGAAGCCATCCCATCACCTTTGTGACCGCTGGTCTACCAGACTGGCAGTTGGTCAAAACCTCAGTGCTTGTGTCACTTCATTCATAGGGTTTTTCCCATCTGTGGACTTGCTGTGTATTCGCTTCTCGAAGGCAATTCCTGAGACAACGTCTCTTGGCTCCATCGTGATGCGGTTGTCCTGGGAGGCAGCATGTCGATCTCGACCCTGTGCAAAGCACTTCTCTGCATGACTCGGTGAGCGTGGCCTTCGTCAGGAGCCAAACACGGGTGGCAGCGCCATCCTGGGTTATCAAGTTGAGATGGCCAGCCCTGAGCAGCAGTGCTGGCGCGTCCGTGACGTGCAGAAAAAGCTAGAAATGGTGCATTTCGACAGGAGACAAACTCCCAACCTGGGTGGCAAATCATCTACGACGGCCAGCAAGATCCAAGCGTTAAGCAGCTCAGATCTCAGAGTTAGCAGCGTTAACCGGCGTCTGAGATGAGCATCAGATTTTGTCTTGAATTCACTTCGTTCATTGCTTGCACCTTGCTCTGCAGCGCTGGACGGTAAGGGGGGATGGTAGATTTGCGAGCGATGCCGCTTTCGCCGAGTTTGGTGCTTTCGAATCTTACCTACGGCACGACCTACTTTTACAACGTGCGTGGCCCCCGGACCTAGCAGCAAGCGCAGAACATGACTTAGGAGTTTCTATTTCAGATTCAACTTCCCAACTGCAGACGAGGTATGCAATCAATGCAATTGGCCGTAGCCAGCCCATCTCGACTGTCAGCTCCTAAAGCTGCTCGTTGCATGGCGCTTGTTTCGCATTTTCATGCGCTAGAGTGCTTACACCAAGGAGGTGGGGGTTTGCATCGATGACGTGTGCAAGAGAATGCAATGCTTGCAGCCTAGGCCTACACGGTAGCGGTGCCACTCGAGCCCGTGCCTCGAACATATCGATCGCGCGTCATGCTCATCCGACAATAGCCCAATACCGCCTGGTGCCTTGCTGCTGCTTCTGCCGGTGCTGCTGCTGCTGCTGCTGCTGCAGCTGCGTTTCGTTGAGTTCTGTTGGCCGAGGAAAACCTTCTTCTACCCACTTTCCACCGATCCATCCATCTCGCGAGATCCAATTCCAGACTTCATCATTGCTGACGTCCCGCCTGGAACCAAGACTGGAGAGGGCGGCTCTGAGTGGGAAGCAGTCTCAAACATAGGAGCATTGCATCGTGATGTCAGAAATTTTTCACAGGCGAAGCATGACGATCACAACACAGTTTGCATCGGTTTGACTTGAGTCCTGGGTGGGCGGCGTTGCGTCATGTTACCGTGAGCATTAGGTAGGCAGAGACTCAATGTTGCCTGGTTGAAAACTTGAAACTGCTTGAGGACGGACTTGACCATCCGTGCAAAGAACCCTGTGACCGAGTGGTTCGAGGCCGGAATTTCCACCTTGTCGGCCCCGTCCAATGCACATGAGGTGTTCCATCAAGCTGCCTTCTGATGTTGCTTGTCGTGCAGGTGGATAGCACTCATCGCAACTACTTGGCTGCGATACATGATGCGCTGGGCTCGGCCTCCTTTGAATGCTGCTTGAGCCTTGCTGACCCATGCCCACACCTGTTGCACATTTTTTCAAGTTGTTCTAGCGAAGATGAAGTTGATGCTCAAGCATCTGGCTCTACGGGTCGGACTGCCGAGGCCTGCGAGCTGAACTCTGAGCGTACGCTGTGCCTCCCAGTTCCCGAGCAGCATCCGGACTACCAGGCTTGGCCTGGCAATCCTGGCACTGGCCTTTTATTGCCTTTTACACAAGTCTCGGCAGGATCATCGACAGCGCCTGAACCAGAGCGGATCTCAGAGACGCTTTGCAGTGGTGTTGATGCCGAAAAGGCAACCGTGTCTTATAGAGAGTCAGTCACTGCCTGTGAAACCTGCAGACGGCAGCCGGTCCATGTCCATGTGCTGCTTGCAAGGGTCCCTGACTGCTGCTATGCCACAGTTCCGAACGGTGACGGGACCTACAGCCTTCAGCTCAGCTTCGGTTGGCCAGGAAGCTTGTTTCAGATCTCCGGTTCATGCACGTCTTGGGGCAGTTCCAGGAAGCCGGTGGATCAGGGTCGTCCCTGTACCGTACCTCTAACTTGACATGATCCCTCCGGTCAAGAGGGCTGTTTCGCCTAGAATCCTCTAGAATCTGCTAGAACAGCTGGCACATGTGCAAGCACCGCCGAGGCCTGAACTACACCGGCAACAAGACGGGGATCTATTCCTTGATGGTGTACGCGATCTTCGCCAATGGTAATATACCCAGCTCAGCGATTCTTGATCAGATGAGTTCTCTGTGGGGGTAACATCTCTTCAGCGCATTTCGCTCCGCAGGCTTCCAGGGAGCTGCTGTTCTTGTTGCAGTTGCGAGCATTGCAGAAAATGTGCCGACACTGGAACATTCCTCTGCCAAGGCCTCTGGGGTCAGTGCGGCCAGCATGTTTGAGCCGAATGTCGTCTTGTGACGCTCTCATGCGAATCGGTGGCAGGTACTGGGATAATGCCTGGTTTTACGGATTGTTAGTGACTCGGTGTGCTTGTTCGCCATCGCGAGCGATGGCTGTGGCTTTAAGCGAAGACCTTCTCTTGCCTTCGGGCCGCCGCCGCGGTTCGCCTGTCCTTGAACTCTGGGTTTACGCCTGCGAGCTTTGAGGCCGGTCCTCTCCAAAGTCGATGAAACTATCAGCTTCGAGCGACTTGGCGGGAAAGTTCCTGGTGCATCATAGCAGTCTCCGACAGTAGCAGTTCAACAGTAACAAGAGTACTCAATAGAATCTTCGTTTCTGGCTTGCTCATGACTGAGGTGGGGCCACCACGAGGTGTTTCACTTGGCGCCGATTCGTTTGGGGTGTTTCGGAGCCGTCCCGGGGTGAATTGCAGGTCACTGCTCTAGCCGGAGATCACATCACAGCCAGGCCACTGTTGTCGCTGGATGCTTCGTTTGTGCTGGAGTTTCCAGATCCTTACAGTGCTGTCGATAACCTTGTGTATGCTTCCCTTGACTGCGCACCGGTCGTTGATTCTGCTGCGAGATGTCATGCATGCCAGTGCTACCCAGTGCTAGACAGGTGGGTGGGCTTCCTTCTGGGCCCTACGACAGACGAATACACCATCTACGTCAAGGTGTTCGGGGTCATACATGGGTGAATGAGGATGCAGGCGCGTGGAAGCCTGTGAATCTGAGGCAGATGATAGTGTTCGCGTTTGGTTTCAAGGCCATGGGACATGTTTCTCTGATTGTCGAACTTCTTGCCTCGTGGCTATCTTGCACAGCGAGGGATTGTGCGGGGATTTCAGCCTTCCACAGGGTTTTCATTCAGCAGCCAGGTCATTTGGTCGTCGACTACTGGGACTCCTCCATTCCATGTTGCAAGCGTCTCAGCGCTCGCAGCAGGGAGTGCCCAGTCCGACGCTACCTACGTTTCTGAGGTCCCGAGCTTTGGACTCGCCAGCTGCTGGAGAAAGACAGGTTCTACTCCATCAAGGTCGCTGGAGCTCCGAAGATTCATGAAGATGCCGCAGTGACTTATGACTGTAGTGAAGTGTTTTTGTTTTTTTTTCGCTTTCCCGTGTTTCGATGCCAGGTTGAGTGGAAGGAGATGCAAGGCAATGCGCAGCTGCGGCTGATGTGGGGTCTGATGCCAAGTCGTTGCATGCATGTGACCTTCGTTCCCGTGGAGTTGGGTAGCCGAGATTTCACGGAGTGTGCCTGTCCCTCGCGAAGAAATGTCAGGGATTGTGGCCGATTGAAGTCAAAGGATTCAAGCAAGCCGCACTTTGTGGTTTGAAGTTTGAAGACTCTTCTTCTCAAAAACAAAAGATACAAGGTTCCTTTCGGGGCCTATTTCGGAGTATTCCACACGGCTGCATGAAGCTGCCTTGTGCCAAAGGCAGGGAGATTTGATGCTGCGAGTTTTTTCTCAGCCCTCCAGAACAGGGCATGGGCACACCCTTTTTCGAGCTTGTCTACTGCGCACGAAACGAGAGAGACAACGAAGCACATTGCAGGGGGGTTAAACCTCGAAGCTGCCCGGCACAAAAGGGTTTAGGGCTTGGGGATATTTAGGTGTTGGGGCCTGAGGCTGCTTATGGTTTAGGTGGGGCCTGAGCCGCGTCACTGGCCACACTTGTTTCAGGGCCAGACGCCCTCATGCATTTTTCACCATTTAGCCCTGTGCATCCACCGCTGGCGTGGAAGCGCAATTTGGGGAGGTTTGACCAGAAGGGTTTGGCAAGTGCTTCCGTGCGAGACATTTGCGGGGTTTCTCCAAACCCGCGCAAGCCAACCTGGGACATGGCTTTCGTTGACGTGTGACAGCGCTTTGGCGACTTCGCGGCGAAAGTTATGGGCATCGGACATGGTAGAAAGTGCTTTCATCGCTGCTCCCGTCTGAGGCATCACCGGGAAGCGGAAGCAGTGTCAGCCTCGGAAAGCCAAGGGCAAGGGGTGGTCTTAAAGTAGCAGACCTCGCAGACTTGTGCCGCATGGTGCCGTCATCGATTTCTCCATGGTCGATGCTCAGGATCATCCCGGGTGCCAACCTTTGGCGAGGAGCTCCACTTGAAAGCGCGTTGGGGTCTGAGTCCACGATGCACATGAGAGCGGATCAGCACGGAGTGGCACCGCGATGCAAATGTTAAACCCTAATCTGTCAGCCATCTGCCCTAACTGGCACAGGCCTTTTCGGATTCTGGTGCATCCAGGACCACCCAGCCGGTGCCCGAGGATTCAGCTGCTTGCAGGCTGGCCGGAGGCGCTCTGACGCTCTGAGGCACTCAGACAAGTGGTCTTCTGGAGCCTCTGGAGCAGCTTCGGACCGGGGCCTCTCGGATTAGAAGCATCTCTTTCCATCTCTCGTTCCGTTTCTTCCAGCATTTCACCTCCCTAAGGCTTCGCAAAGGCTTTACCTACAGGCCGTGTAGCCTTGCCGAACAGACTTGTGCTGATGTAGCTTCGAGTCGTGCGCATCTCGTGATGCGAATCTTGCGACTGCTAGCATGTGACAGGCTCTCGACACCATGAGCAACACCGTCAACTCCACGGATGTCCAGTTTGAAGCGTGCTCGGCTAGCATAGCTGCCCGCTTCTGCGGTCTGCAGTGCAGGAAGCAAGCTACATGGCACAGCAATGCACAGCAGCTGCATGAAAACCTGTCGCAAACTAGTGCCAGGTATTTCTATTCGCCGAGCTACACAAATGCAACTGTTCCGCTTGTATTCAGGCAGGTCACTGCATGATCTGAAGACTCTGAGTGCTCGCATGTCTTCTTGCGGTTGTTGAAGGTCCACTCCGCTCATGTTGCAGAGACGAGAAGACCACATCCACGATCACCTGCACTTCATCGTGACTCCGCTTTGTTTATGCAATATGTGTCCTGTGCAATGAGTGGGGTCATGAATGATAGCAGCCACATCTTCGAAGCAGGAGAATCGCACACACGCACATGCACGCGCGCACGCACACGCGCACGCACACGCACACGCAGACACAGAGACACAGACACAGACGCAGACACCGACACACCGACACACCGACACACAGACACACAGACACACAGACACACACAGACTCACACAGACACACACACAGGCACACACAGACACACACAATCACACACCCCACATATATATATATATATACACACACACACCTTTCGCGGACCGACATTCACTGTTGATAGTTCTGCAAACCTGAGCTCTCAGCTTTGTGTGTCAAGTACCAAGCGTCTGATGATGTGAGAGACTTCTGTTCTCATTGTGCTCCGCCAAGCAGACAACGTGTTCCAGTATTTCATCAGTGTCGTGCGCGAACGAAGACCACCGGGATCCAGAATGCAAGAGAAACGAGCGGCGCTGTGGTGGGAGCACAATTTCTATCCTAAAATGCAAAAGGCACCCGAGAGCGCCACAGCTTTGGATTTTTCAATGCCGTGTCCTCGGCCGACGCGACCAGCACTGTTTGCGGCTGCGCTATTCTGGGTGAACTAGTGCACTGTGCTGTGCCACACAAGCCGCAAGCGAGCAAATAGATCTTGTTTAGCCTGCATGCAAGGCCCCCGCAGTCTAACCTCGCTTTCTGTGAAAACGCCACCAAAACAGCTTATCTTTGCAGCCATTGCACATCAGCCTCTACATTGGAGCAGTGCAAAAGAGCTGTTGGCATTTGACAGAAGCTACAGTAGCTATTTTTGAGACTCCCAGCAGCTGACTGCGTCGCCTTTCCTTGGCGGAAGAAGCAACAGACGGAGTGACTGAGAGTAACGGAGTCAGTCCCTGACCTGACTTTGCCAGGATCTTGTTCTCCTAGAGCCTGGCAACTACACCTTGGAGCTTTTCCTCAAAGGGCATGGGCAGCTGGTTTGATGCTAAGTCTTCAAGTCCTGTGAAACGCTGCAGACCCAGCGCGTTCAACAGACCATCGCAACTTGAAGGCATCCAGCCCCATCCACTTCTTGGCAGTGCAGGACATAAAAGTAGTATGCATTTGCGCGCAGCCGTGAAGCTTCGCATTCGTGTTTCCTTTGTTCTTTGTCGGCATGTGTTTGCAGTATGTGATGAGTTGTTCATGCATTGCAGGTTCGGTAAATAGCATCACTGTCTAGCCAAGCCCCCATCCACTATCAGAAAACGTGGCACACGTCGAGGCATCCACGGATTCCAGCTGCATTCTGTTTCACGTTCTAGATGCCCTCCTCGACTTCACTTTGATGGTCGCCAAGCGAGTAGAGTTTTCCAACCGATCCTGCCGACTTGAAGAATAAGAATGCTGTATTCTCCACGTGGACTAAAGCATTTGTTATGAAAAGTTTTTTGGTCAAGCTCAACCAGGTCGACGGAGAGGAAGGCATACTGTCCTGACTCATCAAGAAAGATTGATTTTGGAAGAGACCCTGCGCAAAGCCTCAAGAATACTAAAGCACACATGTACAGGTCCTTGGACGAGAGGCCTTGACATCCATGCAACGCAAATTTGCAATCTGTAAGAAACACTGCTTCCAGCACCTGGCAACAGCAAGCATGCTGGAAATCAGGCACTATGACGAGCAAGTCTGCAATGACCGTGCCAGGTGCCTCGCGACTGCTTAGAAGCGAAACCCATCAAGCCAATGCCTTGACGATCCACGTCTGAGAAACAAGTAAGTGAATGCAGGGTGCGAGCAGGCCGAAGTTGGGCCAGATCCTGTACACACCAAGGTTTCTGTTTAGCGGACGATGGAGATGGGGAGAGTAAAATAGGTACGACTCACGACACTCGATCCGCTCGCCTTTCCAAATCCACTTGTGATACCTAACGCCGAGAGTATCGTCCCCAGAGCCGCACCAGGCCTTTGTGTCCGTCCCTCTAAGACTGCGACTTGTCTATACGCCATGCTCTGAAAGACGTTTCCATCCCCCCAGGTGACACTTGATTTGTCGATCCAAAAAACATCGCGATACCCCCGCACCCGCATGTCCAAGAACATGGCAGACATATTGCAGTCGGGAGCAATCTTGCAAAAGTTTCCCGATTCCCCCACATCCTCGCTCCCCCGCCTTCCGCATGAGGCGAGCTCACAAAAGAACTGGCAATCAGATCCTGTGAAAACAATAGCATCATCCTTGCACCAGGATTGAAGAGAGCGTCACGAGATTGAGATCCTGGGAGTACATCGCAAAATAGAAGGTCTTACCATCCAACGGAGACGGAACAGGAGCAACCTTCACATCGAATTTGGTTTCCAGGTACTTAGCCAAGCAACCGTTCACCATGTTTCCTCCCATGACAAATGCATTCGTACTGGATTCGGAAGCTTTGATAAGCGAGATGATGATTTCCCTGCACGAGTGCTTTCCGGTGACGAATCGATGCAGTTCCCATCCTGGTCGTGTCGCGCGATGGTGATATCCCCATAGAAGTCCCTGGAGAAATCTTCAGGGACATTTTCGCGTAAAAGCTTCTACTTTGTCCACGGAGGATCGTCAATGGCAGCCTCGAAGGCGGCCAAGTCACATATGTAGTCATTTCCACCCTTGCCTTTGGCAAAAGAGACTCCAAACTGATGGAGGGGTCATTTATCTCTGAACCCATGCTGTCGATTTTTCTGGTGCATGTGCATGCGCAAGGACGACATACAACCGCAGATGTGCACCGTTGCATGGGCCCCGGCCAGCGGTGGCAAAGCAAAGTGAAGCGCACCCCTCCAAACCGGGCCTGCTCTCATCGACTGGCACATGCTGTCTTCACACGGTGTGCAGGACTCGAAGGAGAGTTTTGCAGGATGCAGCCTTCGTCCATAGACTGCTGAGGTTGGTCCGGGCTCCAAGGAGTTCATTGCTGGAGCCAGCAGCTTAGAAAGAATCCTCGCAATCATCTAGTGAAATCATGTAGACAGATGATTGGACTCCAAGGTGGAGACGAACTTCACTCTGCAGCTTCGTGATGCCTTCGGCAATGCCGTGCCACATGTCGATGGGGTCAAAGCGCCTCGGCAGATCTCGGCAGCAACTTGTCCATGGGACATCACCGGATGGCAACATGCGGCCTGAAGTTCTGTCAGACGAAAGAAGTACAGTTTGCAGCATCCGCATGTCCAGGGCTCCGACGAAAACATGTCGGCTGGAACGACGCATTCCAAAAGAAAGAACTTAGATTCATGTTAACAGGCAAAAATGCAAAAGGGGTTGAGTTACGAGTTCAATCTAGAGAGGACAGGCTAGCAGCATGCAACTTCAAGACCGCACCTCTGTTTTGAAGCACTGACGACCGGCGATAAGGGTCAGGGATGCAGGTTTGGTCAGAGAAGCACGCAACTGGGGAGCGTCGCACTGTTGCAGTGCATTTGAAACCTGACGGGTGTGAAGACCGTAAGTGTCTCCGGCGCGGCGGTTGAGAAGGTTTCTTCATGTTGTTTCAAGATGTGTCCAATATGTCTCCTATCAGTGGGTAGTTTTGGGGCGGTGGCCTGCGATTGGCCGTGAAGTTCATTGAAGTTTCTTTGCTTTCGTTTATCCTCAGGTCGAGGTCGACTTGGAGTTTGTGGAGGACTGCATCTGTGGAAAGGGGTAACAAATTGCCAAATAGACGCCTTTGTTGGGGACATTCGAGTTCTCATTGAGAGTTTGCGACAGTCCGCACCATCTCGCCAGGAAATAGGGCCGAACTTGACGTATGATGATCGACGGCTTCGTAACCTCACTGGCGGCCCGAGTCCAAGCAAAACACCGAAACCTCCATCCAAGCTCTCGCGCTACCCGGATTGATTTGTGCTGAGGCCATTATGCGACGGCAACTTCCATTACGCCGGGCCTCTCGGAAAGAGTTTTGTTTGCGTTCTGAGTCCTGGCTGTGCCCCAGGAAGGGCGAGTCTGGCAGCTACTTCATCACGTACACCGGCCTCAGAGCCGGGTTCAACCTGCTGACGATCAAGGCTCCAAGCGACATGGAGTCCAGAGTCATGGAGTCATGAATCTTGTTTGATTTGCGATCTGTCGCTCCACTGTGCAGCTCGAGCGCGCATCTGAAGTAGAGCCTGAGAAGCTTAGCGACGAGCACAACAAAGCAATGCTGGAGCAGCAGGTGCAGAATGACAGGCTGTTTGCACTCTGCGAGGCACTGTAAAGCACCGGCTTCCTTCTCTGCTTCTGCTTTTCCTCACACCTGTTCCACCCTGTTCCACCACGAGCTGCTCCACCCGGGCTGCGAACAGCTGCTTTCAGCAGATCGTGGTGGAACAGTGAAAGCCGAAGCGGAAGGTGCAACCATACAATGCCTCGCAGAGTGCGAACATCCTGTCATGCCGGAAAGGCATACAGGCCTATGCGGCCTATTACTCTTTATCTTTCAGTGACATGTTGCATGGCTTGCTGTCGGTCTAGCTTCGTGTATCTGTGGTATATACTTATATACTAGAGGGATATACTTTCCTAGCGTAGTATTTCCAGATTCTGCTACAGACCGAACCGTTCGCATAGCTGACTGCCGACTGTGGGATCAAACTGTTCCACGCGTTGTTCAAGGAAGCTTGCATGGCTTGCTCTGAAGTGTCAGGTTCACTTGAATCAACTTCTGCATGCAGTTGGAGGTTATCTCCAGGGTGCACTCGCTTTTGTTTTGGACACCAGCATTGTTTAGTCAAGCTGGCTGACTGGCCCTGGTTGTGGACCGGTTTGCTCCAAACTTTACTTTTCAGCAACAGTTGGGCCACAAGCTGACTTTGCTCCCCGAGACTGGTGTGGACAACCACTTGTTTTTTCTCCCCAGGCCTGGGGTTGAGCAGGAGTGTTGCCTTGGAAGAGGTCAAGAGGAGGCAAGGAATAGGGCAACCAGAGGCCGCCCAGAAGAGGGGGCCGGAATGTGCTGTCCGCGCCACCCAGGACACAAGCCAAACCCGGAGCATTAGAAACCAGCCAGGCAGCAAGGCTGGTTTGAAACCAGTTTGCCGGCTTGCTGCGGTCACCCGATGGGCCCCAGACCCATCCCACCTCGGTTGAGGCTTGAGCCTTGAGCCTTTGGAAGGAAAGAAACGAGTGCGCAAAGAATCCCCACAGCTGCCAGCAGGATCAAGACACGCCCCATTCGCAAATGGAGCCAAGTCTTGCTTTCGAGGTCAACGGCCTTGTCATCATGGGCCATGAGGAAGAGGTGCAGCGGGCAAGATTCACCCGGTAACATGTGCATCACACTTTCAACCCTTACCGATCCCATGGCACCCGAGCCAGGTCATCTACAACCCGCCCGTTCAAGGACAAAACGTGCAGTGCCCTTACTTTGGCCCACGAGCTCTCCTCAACTGCAGTATCACAGATTTGTTTCGGCGCTGTCATCGAGGGATCGAGTCAACATTTGAAGTTTTCTCGTATCCTGGAAAGGCCTTTGCAAGTCACGGGCTTCTGGAACGAGCGGGCGAATGGGCTGATGACAGTCTTCGCACCAGCCAGGACAGGCTTCCGAGTCACATGAAAGGGGTTGACAATTGCGCTCAAGGGTCGATCTCATGTTGGCCGAAGAACTGATTAAATCGGTTTCGAGTCCGCTGCTAGATGCTTCTGGGGCTTCGATGGGCTTTGCTGCCCAGTGATAGGAAACCTCGACGTGCACCATCCTTCCCAATCCCTGTGGACGCAATGGACGCATTTTGTCAATGGCTTTATTGCTGACAGCTACCTGCAGAACTAGCAGCTGATCAAACGGACTTCGGAGTTCTCTTTGTTTGCTCACCTGTCTGTTACATCGAATTACCTTGCAATGCCTTTCAATATGACAGTGCTACAGACTGGCCAAGGTGATGTCCTTGTTGCCCCAAGCATTCCTTGACAGGCTTCCGGCAGAGTGTACGACTGGTGTCATCTGCGCTGTTGTGTTGCTTGTCAAGCAATGGCAGCAAGTGATCTCCCGAAACGTGCTATGACATGCTGCAAGGTTCCACTTGCGTGACACCTACGGCAACCGTATGCTCGGAGACTATCACGACCAATTGCAGCTTGACAGCAGCTGGGAAAGCCTGCGCCTCCGCCGCTGCAAGCAGATGTTTTGCAGCCAGGGTGGGAGCGAAACTCTGAAAGTGCTGCTCTGCCGTGAAAGGCAGTACCGTACCGTGGACACTCGATGCAACCCGGAGATCTTGGAGGATCCTTGGTGCGTGCCAGTGGACGAGGCAGGTATCCGGTATGCCTGGCCTATCTTCCTAGCAACAGAGGGCAGAGAGTCGTGGAAACTCCTGGGAAAGACTGATACCTCGATCCTGGCACTTGCTACCCCTTGAGCCCACGACTGACAACGTGTAGCAGTTTCTTTCACCTCCATTTTGGCTC